AAAGTACTGGAACTTTCTGGAGTGTTCTGAAATAGCCTTGAATGTTCGGGAACATCTCAGATCATTGTGAAACCTTCCAGACTACTCACCAATGTTAAGGAATATTCTGGAGCAAAGTGGACTATTCGAAGCCTATTTTGTAAATGTGAGGCTACCTATTGGTCCGGAAGATCCGTCAACAACATATATTTTGAAGTTCATACCATCAGTGATATTGTGAATTGGTTTAATGATGACTTTTGCGATAGTTTGAAATATTCAATGCTTTCGAAAACACATCAATTTCTTTCAAATGTCTGTTCAGAAACATTTTCATTCGTAATCATCTGTAGGATAGAAAACATTTATTCAACTCACTTCGGTACCATCCATCAGAATTATACTTTAGAAAAAGTTGTTTGAGGAGACATTAAAGCTGAAAAATCATAAAGGAAAACAGAACAATTGTCAATAAGAACTTTCAACAGAAAGATGTAAATTGATGTACTTTTCATCTGGATTACTTGTTAAACACATATTTGAAAAGAAAATTTGAGTACCGTGTCACTCATTATCCGAAGAAAATAGTACTTGTTGTTGGGTGGAGCAGGGACAAACAGTTTTTCCAATGTAGATATATTTTTGTAAGAGTATGTACCTTTTCGATTTATATATTCAAAATACAACTTAGAATGTTTTCCACGACCACACATTGAAACTCAATCTGAAACACGATTCAATTTAAACTATTCCATTGAATTTATTTCCAGTACTCATTGTCTTTAGATGTATATTATTTACTCAATTATTTTTAAAATTATTGAAGTGTATTTTTTCTTACAGGTATATCGAACTGTTTACACATTTGTGACTTTGTTGATGAATCTCAAATGAAGAGACAGACATGTTTTTGATATTTCAGTACAGCACCTCCTTATTCGATGTTACCTATATCTCACAATCTTCAAGAACAACTTGAGGTAGGTTGATTTCCTTGTGTAGTAGGCAGCGTATGTATTATCTGAATCATCCTTGATTTGAATGAAATATTTTCTAATGTACCATATTCAATTATTGAAGAGCTTCAGCAATAAACATTATTGAATTATTACAAAATTATTGAATTTCAACTCAATTCAAAGAAGTACCTATGTTCAGTCCTCGTGAATATAAACATTAATTTGTACCCAATTTATCGCGAGTATACAATGACAAATGAAAAAATTCCACTCTTCACAAAAAGAGGATAGATGCTTCTTGAAAACAGAATAACACTACAAGACCAGAAATATATATGG